TCTTTCCCTCCCTCCCTGTCTCCTTGTCTTGTTCTCTTGGTCTTTGTCTCCCCATTTCTAATCTTCTCTGCCTCACTGACCCTTTATCTCTTCTTTGCCTTCTCGGTATTTCTTTGCCTCTCGACATCTCTGTATCTCTGTGTCTTTTTGCTTTTTCTCTCTCATTCTTCCTCTGTCTCTTACTCTTTCTGCCTGTTCTGTGTCTCTCATCCGGGTCCTGGAGTCTCCGCTCTTGCTGCGAGTTGGCACCAATGGTTTCCAGGCTCCCTCTCTCTGCACCTTGTCCCCAGGGGTGGCGCTGGGTTGGGAGGGGAGCCCCCAGATGGGGGGTGTGATCTATGTCCCAGAGTCACGTGCGGGAGCTGCTCTGTTGCTCCTGCTTGCAGCACCCAGGGACTCGCGACCTGTGTGTGTACTCATATATGCGTGCGCATGTGCGTCTGTGCATGTGTGTGCACCTGTATGTGTGTGCACCTGTGTGTATGTGCATGTGTGCATGTGTATGTGTGTGTGGTGTGTGATGGAGGGAGGCCCTGGTCCACTTCGGGGTGAGTACTTGCCCCAGGGAACCCGGGGAAGAATGCCTAACTCTAAGCCCTCCTGAGCTGAGGTCCCTGTGGGTAGCCATGGCGGGGCGGGGGGATGTTATTTCTCGGACTCTTTTTAAAAAATTAATTTATTTGTTTATTTTTGGCTGCGTTGGGTCTTCATCACTGCACGCGGGCTTTCTCTAGTTGCGGCAAGCGGGGGCTACGCTTCCTTGCACTGCGCGGGCTTCTCATTGCGGTGGCTTCTCTTGTTGCGGAGCACGGGCTCTAGGCACGAGGACTTCAGTAGTTGTGGCACCCAGGCTCAGTAGTTGTGGAGCACGGGCTTAGTTGCTCCGCGGCATGTGGGATCTTCCCGGACCAGGGCTCGAACCAGGGTCCCCTGCATTGGCAGGTGGATTCTTAGCCACTGCGCCACCAGGGAAGTTCCCTACTTTGTTGTTTTTAATTAAGGTTGCCTTAATTGGTGCTCAGAGGGCTGGAGGCATGTGGTGGGGAGGGGAAGGGCTCTGGCTGGGGAGGCCCTGGTGCCGACTTGTCCCCAGAGGCCAGTTGGGCTCCCTTCTACTTCTGAGGCTGGCACGCAGGTTGTGGGAGGGCCCCGATGGAACGAGGGCCCCTCTCTGCATCGGGGAAGCCTCTTAGCCTCATATACGCACCTGTAGGCTGTGCCTGGGTGCACTCTTGGCGTTGCAGGAGGCACAGCATCTAGTCCTGGCCACGGAGCCAGGTGAGGGGCTGTCCTGCCTGCCGCCCTCTGTCCTCCATCCTGTCCACGCGTTTCCAGCTCCTCAAGCTGCCCTCGCCTGGCACTGCCCCGCCCACTCACCATCCCTTGATCACTCATTTATTGAGATTCAGTGAGCCTTTGCCCGGTGCTGAGGATGCAGCAGTGAACAGGCCCCCCCAGGCCCCTGCCTTGTGGGGTGTGTTTCTGGGGGACCCGGTCTCCCTGTCCCGCTCTGTGTCCTCTCGGTGCGCAGAGGGTCGGCAAGGTCAGGTCACGGCCACATCACGGTGCCTGGGGGCAGGTGTGCCGTGGAGGCCGCTCCTTCTGTGACAGTGCCGTGCTTCATGTTCCCACGTAGGAAGGGGGTTAAGGAGAGCACGGCGTGGACTGGGAGGCTGTTGCTCGGTGTCGGGTGGTCAGAGAAGACTCCGTAGTGAGGTGACTTTTGAAGGATGTGAGGGGGTGAGCCATCTAGATATTTGGGGAGAGGTCTTGGCTGGTGCTGTCAACACCAGGACACAGGTGTATCCGTGGCCTTTAGAGCCTGAGACCAGACAGGATCCCCAGGGAATGGGGAGTTTGGAGCAGAAGCTGCCCATGACTGAGCCCCGCGACCCCAGCGTTGATGCGTTGGGACCGGCCAGCAGGGTGGGTGGGGACGGCGTTGAGGAAGGGGGACCACGCTCTCCTCGGGCAGGAGCGAGGGGAGGATGGACGGCTGAGTGCGGCAGTGGGCGCCGTGCAGGTGCTGGGTTCTCCCGAGGGCTTGCAGGGGAAGGCCCTGCGGGAGTGGGCAGGGTCCGTGGTGAGCACCTGGGGCAGCTCTTCCACCTTTGAGGGAGTTTTACAGCAAAGCCGGTAGAGGACTGGGCAGTGGCAGGAGGGAGGGGAGGGGCAGAGGGTTTTATTAGGTGGGGGCCGGAGCCTTTGTGCAGACGGGCCTGGTCCAGGAGGCAGGGGCTAGCGGCGATGCGGCCGGAGCACTGGAGTGATGTCCTGGGTGGATGAGGGGAGCTAGGGTCCAGCATCCTGGAGTCCACGCTCGTCTCTCTGTAACAGTGGGAAA